GGGGGGTGGGGGTCCTGCGGTGACCCTGACCCGTGTCCCCTGCTGGCCCGCAGGCACGCTCTACGGTCAGGGAGTCTACTTTGCCAAGCACGCCAGCCTGTCTGTGCAGGACCGCTACTCACCCCCCAACTCCGATGGCCACAAGGCTGTGTTTGTGGCTCGGGTGCTGACGGGGGACTACGGGCAGGGCTGCCAAGGGCTGCTGGTGCCCCCTCTGAGGGACTCTGGCTGCCGCCTCCTGCGCTACGACAGCGTTGTAGACAGCCTCAGCGAACCCAGCATCTTCGTCATCTTTCACGACACCCAGGCGCTGCCCACCCACCTCATCACCTGCGAACACACGCCCCTGGGTCCCCCCAGGGACCCCTCTGGAGTCTCGGGCCCTTCCTCTACCTCCTGACCAGACAAGTCCTTGGCTGGCCCAGCTGCTAGCTTCCTGCCGCCAGACTCCACACAGGGTTCGGAGCAGGCACAGGGGGCGGCCGAGGGTCCAGGGTGGAGACGCAGAGCAGGCCCAGCCACCAGAGGTCAGCAGAGTCCGGGAGGAGGTGGCCGGCGGCCCTCCCTGCGCCGTCAGTCTTTTGAATAAACGTATCTGTGAACCTGGTAGAGGGGCTTGGGGTGGCGTCTCAGTGGGGCGGGGCCAGGGTGGCCGGGGAAAACGCCCCCGTAGCGGAGCGGGAGGCGTGGCCGCTGCCCGCCGGGCCAAGCGTGCTCCAGCGCGACCCCACGGTACCTCCGTGTCACGCATGCTCGCCGCCGCCTGACCACGTCTCCCTGCCGACCGCTCCGCCCAGCGCCCTCTCCTGCCATTGCTCAGGAGCATCTAAGTGAGAGGGGGCGAAGGGCTGACGTTGGTGTTTGGCTTGCTTTCATGGCAGCACTCTTTACAGCTGCGACTGGATGCTGATGCCAGCCTTTCACATCCCTGGGTCTCCAGGCATCTTCCTTTAGCTCTACTCCCACCACTGGTTCAGCTGGATCCCATGTTCATGGTCAGGGGAGTTTCCCAGCAGAACTTTGACGACCTCACTCTTTCCTCTTAAACATTGTCTATGGACATTAAAGTGACCCTTGGAGTCTCTGATCCTCCGGGATTGGAGGGGAGCAGAATGGTGGTGGTGGTGGTTGTATGTGTGCACGTGTGTGCATGTGTGTGCATGTTGTGCTCATGCATTCATATGTGTGCAAGTGTGTGTGTGCATGTGTGTCTAACGCAGCTAAGTCCTTCCCTTCTGGAGGCAGGGGGTCTTCCTGGCAGGTAGAGGCTACGGATGTGTCTCCCCTTGTCCTTGGCATTGCTGGGGTCAGCCTACAGCCCAGGGGCACATTCTCCTTTGCTTCTGCTCCCTCCTCAGCTGTCTTCCCACAGTCCCCTTCTCTCCTCACTCCTCCCTCCCTTCAGCTCTGACCCCTGGCTCCCTCTCTTCACCAGCTGCGCAGCCTTTCTCTAGCTTTCAGGGTGGGTCCACCCATCCTACAATCACATTGGCATACCACAACTATATCAAGGAACCCTGATGGCACTGTCGGTTAAGCTAAGCTCCAAGTCAGAGGTTCAAGCCCACCAACCACTTCAAGGGAAGACAATGAGGCTGTCTGCTCCAGCGAAGATTTAGTCTTGGAAACCCCAGGGGCAGATGTATCCTATGAGATGGCACCAACTGGGTGGTAGTGGGGTTCAGTGAGTGAGTCTCCCCTTTCAGGCTTCTCTCTAATGGCAGCCAGGGGCTCTGGTTATACAGTGGATTATGCAGGTTAGTGGGCCCAGCCCACTACCCGCTGATCACTAAGAAAACAAGTCAGTGGGCCCCAGTCCCGAGTTAGAATCTCAGAAACGCGGGGGCAGTTCTACTCTGCCATGTAGGGTCACTTGATGATATTGGTTGGTGCCTTGCTTCCCGGATAGAATATTCTCTTGCATCTGGACTAATTGGACTTTCTACCAAGGCTCTGTTGGGTCCCTGAACTTGTCCTCCAGGCTGGACTGTGGGGTTGGTCCTCAGCCTTCCCTGGCACCCAGCCCTCTCAGCTTCTTAGGGTGCTGAGATCAAGCCTGTCTAGGAGGCCCTGGTGGTGTGGCAGGGACTGTGGCCTCTGTGAGACCTGTCTGGGAAGCTGGGACACACGTACCCTGTCCAGGAGGTGGCTGGGCCTGCCCGGAAGCCCTCCATGCCACTCTCCACAGGGTGGAGTTAATGTCCGCTACTCGGCCTAGCCGTGGGGTCAGCGCTTGCCGGTATCTGGGGTGGGGCTGGGGAGCACAGCTGCTCCTGACCACCTCCTGCCACAGGTGGAGCGGGTTTCCCATCCGCTGCTGCAGCGTCAGTATGAACTGCAGCGGGAGCTGCTGGAGCAGCGCTGTGAGC